TGTTATAAATGTTGGTTGGTTATGGAAAGGAAATACCTATGTTGTATGTGTTAAACATTTATCGAATGCTAATGTTTTAGTTAATTCTCTACTGGGTTTTGGCTCACCCTACTTGGGACACCATTTTCAGGTTCAGGTGACATGCCGCCTCCAAGGTCATAGCTTGGGAGGTCCAGGGGCTGAATTCTCTGTTTTGGTTGTTTTGTTTTGTGTTATATGTTTTCATTTCAAAGCCAAGGGCTTTAACTTGTAAAGGGCTTTTGACCCTCTTTTGTTGTAACCAAGTCATACTTGGAAAGATGTAAGCCCGTAGGGAATTTACTTTGTTGATTAACATGTAACATCTTTTGTAAAGAATACTCTGATGTATGGAATATAATACCTCTTCTATGTTTTACGAATCTTAAGAATGAATAAGTTATGTCTTATTTTGAGGGCGTTACAAAAATTATCAATGGTGATTGAACAAAGGCGCAAGAGCTTAAATTACAACCCATAGGACACAGGGTTTAAAGTTATGGTAAATCCATTAAGGGCACAGCCCTAGACATCCGAGCAGTCACTGTCGGTAGGGTAAGAAGGTCTTCTTCTTCATCTCCTCCCCATGTGCTCTATTCGCAGTGTAATGGCGATCGGTTTTTTTAGGAGAACTTGTTTGCTTCGTTTTTGCTTTTGTGTTTCCATTTCCTTGCAATTCTTTTCCTTCTCATCCCTTGAAGATAATGAGCAAGTAAAGACCTTGAATATCCACTTCTTCAAGTTCCTTCTAGACAATGTAGACCTTGAAGATGAAGCAGAGCCTGACGGTGTTGTCTTGATCGACGGAGTTTCAGCTTCTTTGTTCTTAGAATCTTCTAACTCCAGAATGCGATGATGATGATGATGATAATGAGAGGCCTCATTGTCTTCGTGTTCTTGCCATTGGAACTGTGATATTCGTAGTGGTGACATCGGCTAGATCTGACCGTTCAAGAACCACTCGTCGGCCGAACTCATAGCGCTCGGTGAGGACCCACAAGAAGATTCGAACGCGAACGAGCCAGTTGACAAGAAAGAATCAGACTCGACATTTGGTTCACCATTGTTACAGTTTGAAAAGAGCACTATTGCTGTGAGTTCGAGAGCAGAAATGACAGAGGACCCCCACAACAACAATACCCACATAGACATGTCAGTGATGAGTGATAGAAGGGAGAAAAAAATAAAAAACAAAAAGTTAAAGGTTGAATACATTGGAGGAGGTGGGATTTTTCCGTTTGTGAGAGAGAGAGAGTTGGGGTGGGCTTAAGGACTGAAACGAGACAGAGAGCTCTGTTCTGTGAATAAGGAGAGAATGCATACATGGTTATGCCCTGTGCTTCCAATAAATATTGGAATTCAATTTTTTTTAAATAATTTTTTATTTTTATTTTTTATATATTCTTATTTGGAAAAATTATTCAAAAAATTCATTTCAGAAAATGTTGCTTCATTTAGTCAATTAAATATACACAAGAGATTTCATGAAAGCTGTGGTGTATCATACCAATTTTGATTTGTTTAGTGCACCAGCTGCTAATTTGAGGGACACTTTTTATTGTCATATGGCTCCGAAACCTCCAAATCTAGAGGAATTGCCCCCTCCTTGCAGGTATGTTATGAAAGGTTACTAGTACGGTTATAAATCGCAGGACATATAACGGTATTAGGATGGAAAATTAGCTGTTTAAATTGGCCATTATGCACGAATTGACAGCTTTTTAATTCTATGATTAAATTTCATAAATTATTTTTACTTGTTGTGACAATTAAGTTGGTCAATTCATGTTATGTTGGTGCCTCTCATTCCAAAAATTATAATTTTATCATTGCATTTCATATCTACAAATAAAAATAATTTATGAGATTTGTATATATAGGATATTTTCTTATATATACTCAAACTGCATATTATGGTTGTTATGGAGAGTCTCCATTAACAATTCATAGTTGAAGGTTGGATCTCTATACCCAAACTTTTGTTCTCTTTCACACTCCTAATTGTGTGATATGATGAAAATATAAGGGAACAATTTCTCTCCAATATATGATCAGAGGACAATCATGTAAGGGAGTCTCAGTCTAAAAAAATTAAGTTTATCAAAAATCGATAGTCATTTAATTGCATCGCATTAAAAAAAAAAATATCTATCTATTCTATTATTAAAAGGGAACAGTGATTTTGGTGTCATGTAGCCACTTCTCACAAACTTTTTCCAATTTTTCCTAAAATGACCTTAATTTCTTACACTTACATCAGATTTAATTAGGGGTAAAATGATAAATTAAAATAACCAATTCTATTTTCCCACTCCCCACGTCTCCATTCCTCAAGCAGTTACAACATCTCCATTGCATCTTGCATTTTGTTTTGATTTCACAGAAAAGTTCTTAACAACTTCACTGTATTTTGCATAAAAAATTCTGAAAGTTCTCTTCTGAAAGCATCCTGTGGATATATGATTGGTTGAATGTTTCTATTTGGTAAGTTCTCTTTTGTATCAATGTGTATCTTCATTGTATTTTGTATCTCAACTGTATCTTAGTTGTAGTTCTCTTCCCAGCATGAAGGTTTAATCCATTTTCAAAGATTAATTGTTAGGTAATGTTGATAATGCCAATATTAGCACAATGCAATACACGATGATAAATTACTCTAAATCTAATGAAACCCTTCGTATTCCATTCGCTGGAGTAAAATCAGTCCGACGATTGACCAGAAAAATCCTAGGCGAAGTAGAGAGCCTTAGTAAACCAAGAACGATGGAATGTTGGTAGACCAAGACCAAAACAGTTTGAAGAAGTACAACTTTCATGGTTTTGGAATCAGAAAAGTTTAATATGAGTACTTCATTGAGGTTCTTAAACTCTATAAAGATTGTGGGTTGAGTCAACATATATATATATATATATAGACGGATTATGTTCAAAATCATACTATCCATCCAAGAAGCTGTCCCAAATAGATTATTTGTAAAATTTGGAAAATGTTACATACCCTCTGAAAGTGAGGTGTACGGTGTAGATAATAAAAATAATTTACTTTCTTGCTATGATGATTATGTATTTATTTTTATTTTTTTCAAGTAAAGTATTTGAGAGGAAGTGTTTACTTCAAGAAAACAGTTATGATAGGACCTATCTTCTCCTGCAACAACTGAACACAAGGATAGAAAATTAAAACGATTTTTGTTTTCCAGTTCCGGAACTGCAGGTGTTCCTCCAGTGTTGATTAGTATAGTTTTGTTGCAGAGATATTTATTTAGTCAATTAAATGTTTTTAATTTTTTACAAATAAAAAATTTTAAAATTTTGTTTAAGAAATTTTAAAAACAAAAATGATTCAGGCCTCGAATTTGAGACTTAAATTTGCCTCGAAATCATTTTTTTTTTTTCTTTTCTTTTCTTCCAAAGCTGTTTTAGTTTGGTTTTTTTTTTTTTCTCTCTTTTT